TAAAGACTTTTTAGACAATGGCAAAGTTTTATTAACCATATTGAAATATAGCAAAAATCTTAAAATATTATATAATTAGCCCCAATTCATTAATAATAATTTTGTAGCGTAAACATGAACATCCTTATAGCAATTACTATGTAAATTTTTTTACTGTAAAAAAAATCTTATATATATTTCAACTCCATTATGATAATTTTGTCATGTTGTGAAATTTTTAGAAATAAAATATGGAATATAATTTATTTTAGAATCAGTACAACGGTAATACGCGGGTCCATTAATTCGTTTCCAACTGATCTTTGACCTGCGATAAAGTTTAGTGGGACTTTTGTATATGCTTTCCCACCCCCACTTTTCTGTTAATTGTCGTTGCCCAATTATACAAGAACAACTTTCTATAAAGTTATGGCCAATATTGATTCTCCGGCAAAATAATAATATGCGTATTATTTTTGTTGCGGAAATAAGATGATTGGACTTTTCCTTCATTTCATGATTTTCATGTGCTGAACAGTATATCCAAATTATTATGCTTAATTTTGATTCCTAAAAGAGAGACTGCGATGAATCCGCAAGCTAAACAGAGAGAAGAAAAAAAAAAAAAAAAAAGGAACAAAATTAATTTATTGGGTTTGTAAACAGTGAAAATTAGGAAACGATATGATCTCTGCTAGTGTTTACTAATTAAATGTGATTGGTTAAATTATCTTTTAATTTAACTTCAATACTAACTAAAGTAAAATCACGGTAATTGCCTCCATTTATGTTTATATTATATAATAGTCTCTATCTCTAGCAATACTAAATTTGATCTACAAATTTTGGTACCAAGTTTAGATCTAGACACGATATTATTTTTATCATCAATTATTTATGATATTCAAGTATTCATCTTTTAAGCGCAAAAAACAAATTAAAACAGTCTAATAAAATATCTTCAATTAATTATAAGTAATTAGCGTTTTTAGTTCTTTAGTTCCTGGATTTTTTTTTTTAGTAATTAATATATATATTACTGCGTGCTGAAAGAGTAATTAACATGTTAGTTCCTAAACTATAAGCATTATGTTGGTTGAAACCCAATTAATTAACTGAAAAATAAAAACTGAAAGTCTTAAACGTCCAAGATAGTTCATGATTTAATTTGTTGTTCATGAATTTGAGAAGAAAATGAATGATTTTATAGTAGGATATGAAAATATGGGTATATAGGACATCATTGTAATTGACATATCACAGTAAAATTATATCATATTAAAACAAATGAATTCTCGACAGAAGTGTATATTTTTGAACATGTAGATCTAGTTCACAAAAGTACGCAAAACAAATAAAACTTTATAAATTTAACAGTTAAAATGAAGTCTTATTTGCAAGGTATTTTTATACCAGTAAAATTCTAATAAAACAAATATAATTAGTTAAGAGAATTTCTAATAAAACAAACATAATTGATTAAGAGAATTTCTAATAAAACAAATATAATTAAATAAGAGAATTTCTAATAAAACAATTATAATTAATTAAAAGAATTTAGTATATTATGGTAATAACGGTACTTTTACTTTATCAATAGGCACTGCTGTTTCAATAAACTAACTCATGATTAAAAGTATTTTGCGTCTCGCGTCTTAAATTTTTAGTATACACACTTAAAGATCTAATCATTAAAAAATTAATGTAACAATTAAAATAATAATACCTGATAAGAAAACTAGAGTTTGTATTTCCTACTATAAGGTTGCTAAAAATAAATAAATAAATAAATAAACTCAAGTTTATTCAAATTTAATTTTTTTTATTAAAATATTTTTCTCTCCCAATTCCAAATCAAGTTCTCACTTGAGCTGTGAAATAAAATATGCCCAAGCCCCCAATTGTTAATCACATGGTCAAATTTTATTCCTGCTATGGTATTTCTTTAAATGGGTGGGGTCCAGAGAGGAATGATGGGGTCCAATGGGAGGAGGGGCTGATAAGTGATACCGGCTTTGACCGTGTGGCATTGGTTGGAGGGACAGCTTCATATTAAAGTCTCTGTAACCGACCGTTGGATGGTATTTTGGATTTTGTGCAATTTCATTATTTCAGTTTCAGTTTCCGACTCGCTCAACTGGCTCCGGATCAACTGGGTAAGAGTTTGTGAAGATTGCTTATAGCTTGAAAGGATGATTGATTCAATACAGGCACAGGCAGGTCTCATTTATTTTACTATTTTAAATTTTAAATTTTAAATTTTTACAGTTAAAAAATCTCAAAAAATATTATGTTTAATTTTTTTTGTTACAGTTAAAATTTTTTAAAAAAAATGTTATATCTCAAATTTAAAATTTAAATATACTTTGATAAGACCCTAATTAACTTCTTAGGCTGTGGAGCGTCCATGATTATAGACATTGCAACATATTGCTTTTGCCTTTTCTCCTATGCGTTTTGATTTTCTTTTTTTTCCTTTCTATTTTTTCTGTTTTTATTTTTTTGTTTTCCTTTTTCCAACTAAGAAGATTGTTTCAATACTACTTTTTTTGAGATTTTTTTTTTTTTACTGTGTGCTTTGATCAACGAGTGTTATTTTTAGAGTTGAAAGAAAATCAATGTGCATATTGTAAGTAGTATACATATATATTTTACCAAGAAAAAAGTAGCAATCTTTGACTTATTAAAATTTAATTTATATATATATACACATATTCAGAGCAAACGAAATTGATCTAAAGAGTGGCGACCTATGCATTTATTGATCTAAAAACAGTTTTTTTTTTTTTTTTTTTTTGAAATAGGATCTAAAAACAGTATTAATTACATAGTTTTTCTATTATTTGATAACTTGTAAGTGCCATCGGGCGGGCCGAATCATTTTTTTGTTCTTTTTTTTCTTTTTGAAAGTATTTGTGGTTAATTGCAGCATAGAATATGTAAGCCTCTAAAACATAATTGTAAGAGTAGAACTTTCTTAGTAGTATTTTTTTTTTCCTTTTTTCTCTAAGGCAAAAAGAGAATTCTAGTAAAGTAGCCAGATGTCAACTCATATAAAAACTGTTTTTCTTTTTTCTTTTAAGGAAGAATATTAATAGAAATTAGAAATAATTAATTCACGTTGTGTTTTTTTTAGGGAAATTAACTATATTATTTATGTTATAAAGAACTCTTAAAAATACCAGAAAGGTAATTGACCAACTCAAAGTTAGTATTTTGAAACAAAACGGGGAACAAAGTACAACTCAAAGTTGTACTGAAATATTATGCGTTAAGTTCTTTAAAGAGTGGCGCTTGGATCATCTTCTCTCAATATATTTGACATTGTTCTGCCACAATACATGTAACGATGACATAGAACTCGTGATCTTTTTATCTTTCATACAATATTGCACAAATGGATACGACTACTTCATGTAGATACTTCTGGCTTCTTCTAAATCAAATTTTTCATGATGAATACTGTCAATGGTCAACCCGATTTTAAGCGCAATTTACCAAAATTAGAAGCATTTACTTGACCGGATATATACAAAAAGATACACATACGTATAACATATGTGGATGAGAACAAAAATTCAATTAATAACTAGGAAACAAAAAAAAAGTATATCTTATATTATTATTATATATAGATCATTGGAATAGCATAATGGTAATTTCAATCTAATTAACTTCACAGCGTATAGAGTTCAAATCAAAAAGGCAATTTTTATTGTAGGCCTTCTATTTTTACCCTACCAAAATTTTTATCGTTAAATTGACTTTTAGATTAATTTTAAAAATTCTCCCTGAATTATGACCCATGTAACATTTTTCCCATTGAATTTCAAAATGTAACATCCGCTCCCCCCGAACTTTGTTCCATTAACAAATTTGCCTCTTCCGTTACAGAGTGACGAAATTTGCCACGTGTCCATTATTTAGTGAGATTTTAAAGTATAATTACACTTATACCCATCTTCGTTCAGAATTACTAGTAACGGAAGGGGCATTATTGCATCAGTTTATCCAAAATTAGATCTCATTATTTCTCTCAACATGAGACAAAATCCTAACAACATGAGAAGAACTACCGAAGACAAATTGACCCATGCCACCAAAGAGGTTGGAAATTGCAAAGAAATGAGGAGCTAGAGCACCCTATGTTGGCGTGTGAGTCCACGCGTAGCTACCATCAACTATAACCTTGGCATGCACTCCCCCGAAAGAGACGTAGCACCATAGGGATCAAAAAGCCTCCAAGATGCAACTCTTCCAGAGCTCCTGCACTTCTCATGCTAGTGAAACCACCATCGACATTGAGCATCCACCAACAAACGCTACCCTCTCTTAACTCTGTCTTGACGAGGGAAATGAACCCTAAAAGTAATAGAACTACGAAAGACAACACGTTGAGAAGAACAGTCAAAAAATTGGTGGCCCCCTCCTCCACTTCGCCAAAACCCAACCCAACCACGAGCTGTGCTTGCCTCTAGATTCGTCATCATGAAATGTTTTTGGAACAAATCTTAATTTTTTTAATAACCTGATAAATTAATGTATTTTAATTCCTTTTTTAATAACGTGGGGTTTTTGCAAGATATTTTAACCCTCCTTAGACGGGTTAAATAATTAACATGTGGTGAATTCCGTCACTCAGTGTATCGGAAGA